AAAAATTACTTCACTTTTTTAAAGAACTATTTTAAGAGATCTCCTTGTAGTTCACTTCAAAAATTACTACCAACAACTTACTCGTTAGTTGACGCTGCTGCATCTTTCAACTTTCGTTCAATGTTGCTTATCTCACGGTTCAGCGCACTTATACTCGAGGAGGTGGCATCCAGTTCGCAGCGTAACTTCGACGACTCCATTTGTGCTACATCTAGACGAGCTTGTTCTTTCTCGCGAATAGTTGCGGAAGAATCCTAGAACAACACTTGGCTCGTTGGTTCAAGATTAAAGAACGCTTAAACAATTGTTTCAACTCTATCAGCAATATCCTTACTTTCATCTCCTTAAGCTCGCGTTCATCCTTCTCGATCACCTCTTGTATCTCAACCACGTAATCTGGCCCCTTCAAGGCATAGGTCTTTACAAGCTCATTTTCAGCTACTTCTATCTCTTTTTGAAGATCTCGTCGGACCTAAATTCAAAGAAGATAACATCTTGTACAAACGTTTTAAGAAGTATCGCACCATCTCGCAACTCATCAATTTACGCATTTCCCCTTCCGCCTCATCTTTCTCTCTTTTCAATTTTACGATATCTCTCGATGCAAGTTCGATTTTCTTTTGGAGGCGATCTCTTTGAGACTCGAGTTCGCGAAACTCGGAAGAAGAATCCATCTGTAACCTTTAAACTCGATAACGTAGTCCATAAGTGATGAATTTGAATGACTTAAACTGTTAGTTACGCTCAAACTCCCCTCACGTATTTCTGCTCTAAGTTCGTCTTCACTACCAGGATATGGAGAGACCCTTATAGTTGATAACTGATCATTCAGCATGCGTAGTTCCGAACGTTTCAACTCTGAATTACTTGTAGATGAGAACGGGTCATAAAAAGGTTCCCGCTTCTATACTATTATACATTTAGGACCAGGAGTATGCGGTAAAAAGTAAGAAAAAGACTTCATTAAGGTAGTAACCAGAAACTCAACAAATACCATGTATACAAAAGAAAGGTTTAAAACCTTGAAGCTTTTGTATCTCTA